GCCCACCCTGCCATGCTCCCCCACGCAAATATAGACATCACGTGGCCAGCTGCCTCGCGCTCCTAGCCTCCTACTGCTGTTGTATAGTTGCCAGGATGGACTGTATCCCTACCTTAACATGGGCGTGGTGGCACACTGCCTTTAATCCCAGCAGCTGGAAGGCAGAGGCCTGTGGATGTCTGTGAGTTCAAGGCCAGCCTGGTCTACATAGTAAGTTCTAGTATAGTCAGGACTACATAGAGAGACCCTGTCTCAAAAAAGAAAGAGAGAGAGAGGAGAGAGAGAGAGAGAGAGAGAGAATGAATGAATTAATTTTGTCACAGAAAAGTAACGAGAAAAGTTAACTAATACATGAATAAGATTAAGGAAAGGAAGGTATGCCAGAGACAGGGACATACCTTATGCAAGCTGGTCATGCCATCATCATCAACCAGCCGAGGGTTGGACCCATGGGAAAGCAGCAGTCGTGCAATTTCCGTGTGCCCACAGTAGCTGGCCCGGTGCAAGGCTGTGGCACCCCCGTGGGTCTGGGCATCACACTTTGCTCCACTTTCCAGCAGAAATTGGCAAACAGCATAGTGCCCATTGCGACTAGCATAGTGCTGCAGGGAGCAGAGACTGAAGTCAGATAGCAAAGTCCTGGCGGGTGACAGGGGCACTGGGATGGTAAAGGCACTGGCTGTCCAGCAAGGGGTGGACCTGGAATCGGCTTAGGGACATTGTGCTCTTCCACTAATTAAAATACCCAGCTGCTCACGATGCTGCCAAAATAAAAAGGGGAGGGTGGCTAAGGATACAGTGTAGGTGGGAGAGTGCTTAGCATCATGGTGGCACAAGCCATGTCTGTAATCCCAGCAGGAAGAAGCAGGAGGATCGGGGTCATCCCACACACAACAAGTTTGAGGCTAATCTGGGTTATGTGAGCCTATTTCAAAGGACAAAACAACAAACTTTAAAGCGAGGTGAGGTAGCATGCCTGTAACCTCAGTACTGGGGGGGGGGCTAGGGAAGGGGGTAGAGACAGGAATGACTTCAAGGACAGCCTGGGCCAGAGTGAGCCCTTACAAAAACAAAAAACCCAAGAGCCAGTGAGATGACTCATTGGCTAAAAGTACTTACTACCAAGTCTGGTGACCTAAGTTCTATCCCCAGAACTCAGCGCAAGGAATGGAACAACTCCCAAAAGTTGTCCTCTGACCTCCACACATGCCCTGTGACACGCTCGTGCCCGCTCGCAGGCTTGCATATGAACATGCACACACACACACACACACACACCACACACCGCGGGCTTGCACATTCACACATACACATACATACATACCCCACACACCAGGCTTGCACATGCACACACACACACACACATACGCACAATAATAACAAGAACCAACAGAACAAACACTACAGGGCTTTGCTGGAAGTAAAGGGAAAGAGAGCAGGCAGCTAGAGTCAAATCTGTCCCGTAGCTCACCAGTGCGGTGTAGCCGGCAGAGTCAGGCTGGCTAGGATCTGTGGCCTTCTGGATGAAATATTTCACTCGGCCCAGGTCTCCATTCAGGGCTGCCGACCAGATTCCTGCAGAAAGCCAATCAAAGCACTCAGCAGGGCTGCATGATGGGATTTTTCTTTGTTTTTTTAAAGAATTTCTTCAGGCTGGGTGGTGAAGGCACACACCTCTGATCCCAGCACCCGGGGAGGCAGGGGCAGGCGGATCTCTGTGAGTTCAAGGCCAGCCTGGTTTACAGAGCTGGTTCCATTCCAGGACAGCTAGGGCTACACAGAGCAATCCTGTGTTAAACAAACAAGCAAGAAGCTGATCAGGGAACGGTGAGGTGGCTCAGCAGGTCAAGTACCTGCCATCAAGCTTGACTACCCGAGTTTGACCCCCCTATACCTAAATGGTAGAAGGAGAGAGCTGACTCTAGCCAGTGTCCTCTGACACTCATACCCAGATGCCCCACACACCCTAAATTTAAAAACAAGTAAAATTACTGAAATAAGATAACCACGAATAGTTTGACCAATACTACACACCAATGCAATGAGAGAATTAGTGGCTTGGAATCCGATCACAATGCAGCATAAAATGATGGGGAAAAGAGGTAAAGAAACTTGGAAAAGACCATGTACCGGCATACTTCTAAAAGCAGTCACAGACAGATATGCTGGATGTAGCCAGTGCCATGTCCTTGCAGGGCTCCAGGAATCTGACCTTACTGGCATCGCAAGGGAGCCCAGACACTGCATACACAGAAGCTAGGACTAGGGCTGGCGGAGAACTGCACAACCCAGAAGCTCAGCGTGTTTATTACATACAACTGAACAGCTAACCAGGTTACTGTGTCCAACGAAAAGGCGGGGTTATTCTACACAGCTGAACAAGGAGACAGGTTCAGCTAACATTAGTAGAGCAATCTCTGCAGAGGGACAGACTTCAGGCCATGAATATCCAGAGGGAGCAATGGTAGACATTTTCTGCACATACTGTCAACATCTGCACATGGACCAGAGGAAGGATTTGCCATTGCTTTGAGCCTCACCTGTGTGTGTGTGTGTGTGTGTGTGTGTGTGTGTGTGTGTGTATCCCTAGCCCAAAGATGGCAGTAGCTGAGATAAAAGGTGCAGGTTAAGAAGTATGGCAACGGGGCTGGAGAGATGGCTCAGTGGTTAAGAGCACTGGCTGCTCTTCCAGAGGTCCTGAGTTCAATTCCCAGCAACCACATGGTGGCTCACAACCATCTGTAATAAGACCCGGCGCCCTCCTCTAGCATGCGGGCATACATGGAGGCAGAATGTTGTATACATAATAAATAAACCTTTAAAAAAAAAAAAAGAAGTATGGCAACGGTCGGGTGTGACTGCATAGGTCAGTAGCATCCACCCTACCTTGCTATAGTTGCACAAGCTACCTGTGCCCAGCGATAACATAGTTCATAACACAGTGGTTCCTGGCACGGAAAACAGGGACCATTGCTGGCAGCAAGATCTCTGTATAAGCTGAGACAAAACAGTCACATCCTTGCGCTTCGCACGTTAAGATGCAGTCACCTTTCACGTTAAGACGAAGTTACTGTAATAGCTACAACATGTACACTCACACTGGAGAGCAGCTCCCCTGACCTCCCAGGCGGACACAATCAACCAGCTGCAGATTCTGTCCCTGGCTCCTCTGTTCCCTGAGCAAACTGTGTCCTAGCTAGGTTGGTCTCCAGACCCAGTTCGGAAACCAATGCCTCAGTTTACCCGTCCACACTCGAATCGATGCGGCCGAAGGGCTTCCTGCCAAGCTCTGCGGCCAGCCTTCCTGCACCAGGCCCGGAAGCTCCAAACTCGGTTCGCGGCCTCCTTTGGTTCACGTTCCCGGGGCTGGGACTGGGAACTGCCTGCCGCCAGCCACGCGGCCGCCTCACCCTTCTCACCCCTCTCAAAGTCCATCTCCTCCAGCGTCTGCTGTACCCCGGGCACCGCACCGGGGTGCGAACAACAGGAGCCGTCCGTGCACGGTTGCGGCGCCGCCATCTCGCCTGCCGGATTCGCAGCCGGGCTCCCCTACCAAGTGCCCACCCCTCCGTCCCAAGATGACCACTTGGAGTCCGTAGTTGACCTCCGAGTCCCGCCCTCTCACCCTAACCGACCAATCCGACGCTTAGACTTAGGTTAGCAACCAATGACAGTAGCGAGGCGGGACTGGCTGGGTTGGGTCTTGCTGCTCTGCTACCACGGGAGGGCGCCCGAGGCTAACTAAGCAGAAGGAGGCTCAGAGGCGCAGGGTTCTGCTGCTGCGCACCCCGGAGGAGGCGGGACAGTTCGTGCAACCGCGCCTTGTAGGGTGTGGGAGACCAGGCAGCTTAGCCCGCCAGGCAGTGTTTACGTCGCATTCGCCAGAACCGAGGCCTCGCGGGCTCCTCAGGGCACAAGGACTCTGGACGCCGCCCACAGTCCCTCATCCCTTCTTCCCGGCATCTCCCGACCAACAGGCCGTCCATGGGCAATGCAGCGACTGCCAGAAAGTCACTAACACCCTGACCTCGTTCCTTAACAATCCAGTGGGAAGCAGGTGGTCTAAGGGCAAGGACCAGGCCCTCCTTTGCGCTTAACCCCCCGCCCCCTCAATGGGCACTGACTGCCAGCATTCGCTGGGCTAACGTCTGAGCTAAGGGAGGCACACTCAAGTATGATCCAGCCTTCTGACCCACACTCAGGGAAACCAGGACGCAGTCTGCTCAAGCTGCAGTCAAGTGTAAGAGGGTGGGGGAACACCCGAGGGGGTGGTGCTCACTACCGTGGTCTCTGTTCCTATGCACGGGTTAGATTTATCTAAACCAGTCGTGTCCAAATTGCAGTTAACAATAGCATCTAATTCTGCACCAAAGATCTTAAGACGTCATTTCTTTTCTTCTTTTCTTTTTTTTTTCCTATTTTCCTTTTTGAAACTCGATTGCCGGGCAACTCCCATCAAGGGCACTCAAAAATGAATCCAGGCTGGGCCTGTTGTTTTTCTCAGTAACATCTGGGCCTATACTGCCTCATAAGAATCAGGGCTTGGAACTTTCTGGGTGGCAGTAGACTATCTTTCCCTACATAGATGGGACAGAAAGCTCCGAGTAGTTCCTCCTTCCACTGAGCTAGTCCTAGGCTCCATCTTCATAAAAACGCTGCCTGCACAACCTTGACAAGTTTTTAGGAGGTCCCCTCCCTCAGACCCCTCACCCCCTGCTCACCCTCCCTGGAGTTCTGGGAAGACAAACCCCTTCTCCTACTCTTCCCCCCAGTGCTGACTTTTCCCTGTGGCACCAGGCCAAGTCTGGCTCCCAAGAGGATGTAGCCCTGGTCTGGTTCCCAGTCCCATAGGCACCAGTGTGGGAAAACACTTGAGTCTCAGCTGGCCCCTCCAGAGAGGGGGCACAGACAGGCATTAAGACTATGATGGGCCCAGCCCAAAGGACGGTTCCCTTTGGGCTCAATAGATAGGTTTTAGTCAAAGTATCTGAGCACCAGAGTTAAGTTTCACTTCCTCCATTTTATTTGTCAATATAAAAATACTCAAATATTTACAACAAATAAATATGTGGGGACACAATAAGTTACACTGTTAGGAGCCCTCTTCCTAGAGCTGGGAGAGGCTATGCCAGTATCCACAGCATGCCTACTTTCTCCCTCCCCTCCCCCCAAACCTTTCCCAGCCCTGTCGGAAGAGCGCAAGTATAAAATACCACTGAACCCAGAGGCCAAGTGGGAGGCCCTGCCCACCCTTCCCCCTGAAATAGGAGGCTCCATCTCCCTCCCCCACCCGCCCTGAAAACATTCACAGCCCTAGGAGCAGGACTAGGCCCACCCCTGAGTCCTGTACTCCCCCCCAGAGGGGTACAGCACCCTGTCCATCCCATCCCCATCTGTACATTACTGTCCCAAGCTCGGGACAGGTGGGGGTAGGAGAGGCAAAGTGGTATGACCCCCTTCCCCTTCATAGCTCCAAAGACTCACCAGGAGGACCCCAGGCCAAGGGAAGACTTAACAGAGACATACCTAGACACACACACATACACATACATACACACACACACATCACACACCCCTCCATACACACACACACCAACACATATATGCACAAACACCCATATCTTGAAACTTCTGCCTTGCAAAGTTTTGGCTGCTGGGGTCCCACAATGTCTGAAATTCAGAGGAGGGTGTGGCCTCCTGTGAGGCTGATGCCCTGGTGAGCCACACCAAGTGGCAGTGCCCACGCTGAGCAGGTCCTCATGGCCAGGCAAATGCTGGGCAGTGTCTGTCCCAGGCAGAGCAAGTGCCCCGGCCATGTCCCTGAGGTAGCTGGTGCCTGTGCAAAAGTAAGAGCGCACCTCCCACGAGACCCCCGCCGTGAGGTGGGGGGGCTCCCCTCATACTGAGGACTCCTCCGGGTTGGAGTCAGGCAGTGGCTGGCGCTGCTGTAGTTTCCGTCTCAGCTCATCCGCGAGCTCAGGCAGTGGATGCCCAAGTCCTCCTCGGTCCTCCCCTCCCAGCTGTAAGCGCACATAACCATTGGCGTTTGAGTTCCGACCTCCCCCGAGGTGAAGCCGAGTTGGAGAAGGCAGGGGCTGGCCAGGTATGCCAGGAGGTGGAGAAGGGGGCCCACCCCCGGGCTGGCACCGGGCGTGACCAGGCACAATCTTGAGAGAGCCATCTGAATAGTAGTAGCCAACGGGATCCCAAAGTTTCTCATCTGTTTCAGGGCCAGGGCGGAAGGGGGGACTGGCTGGTTCCTTGGGCAGCTCTAAAGGGTACACCAATGTCCTCTCCGCTGCCTTGGCACCTTTTTCTAGCTCTTCTCGAAGTCGCCGACGAAGTGATAAAACCAACAGCAGCAACACCAGGCACACAGCCCCCAGAGCCACCACAGCTAGCCAGACAAGCCCCAGGTTTTCCAAGGGAGCCCGGGCCTCCAGGGTCACTGATGGGCCAGCCACAACAGCAACAAGGTAGCTTTCGGCAGGCAGTCTTGTTCCCTGCTCCTCCGAATAGCAGTGATAGAGCCCAGCATGGCGGGCTTGGGCAGCCATCACTACCAGCGCCTGAAGTCCTGTGTCATAAAGGAAGGAGCCAGGTTGTTCGGCAGGCAGGTCCCGGCCTCTGAAGGTCCAGCGGGCATGGGCCAAATTTGACGAGAGGTGGCAGGGCAGAACCAGGTCTGTGCCCGCCACTACAGTGATGTTCTTGGACGCAGGTTTGACTGCAGAGGCAAAAAGGAGAGAGAACAGAGTGTTAACACAGGAAACCCAGAGCCAACAGCAGGAGGAGATTAACCAACTCTGGCTGCGATGTGGTGGTGGTGGGGAATCCCCAAAATGAAGGAACAAAAGAAAAACGGCTCACCTTTCTTAATGCCATACTGGTTACACATCTTTGAGGTGTCCAAGTTTGTCACATGTTGGACCAGAAGGGACCTGGTAGGGAAGGGAGAGAATGTTGGCAGTCCTACCCCAACCACTTTGGCCTCCCCTCCTGGCCCTGGCACTCCTCACAGATTGCCCGACTCACCCTGGGTGACCAACGGTGGTGGCCACGCACCGGCTGGTGTTGACATTCCAGGCACAGTAGGGATCCCGGGCAAGGACACAGTCTGCACAGAAGCGGTACTTTGTGCAGTCATTCAGGGGCAGCTGAACCAGCTGAGAGCGGGAGCCAGCGAAAAGCACCCTCTGCAAAAAAATCAGACAAAAGGTGAGCCTTTGAGAGGCACAGGCACGGAGAGAGCTGGGATCTGTGCAGGGAGCAGGAGTGCGCTAGGTACCAAAGGAAGAAGGCAGAAGGAAAAATCCAGGCCGGAGGAACACGCTTGAGCCAGCACAATCCTAATCACGTTATAGACATGACCTTATTAGTCAAGAACAGCAGACCTGGGAGGCCAAGGCTTATGCACACTTGCTCACACACACGCACACTTGCTCACACACAGCTTAGAAAACGCTTTCCTCCAGCCGTAGGAGCCGGCACAATAACGGGGCCCATCTAAGGCATTTCCCTCTGCTCGAATGGTGACTGCCAATCTGTGTATTTACTCAGCCCCACACTTTCCTCGCTGCCATTTCATTATTCAGTGATCAGGGGAGCAACTTCGAGTCACAATAGCTGGTAAAAGGCAAACAAATCAAAGTCCAGAGGGTGCTGGGAATATGCCAGTTTTGCATAAAGGTTTGAAAAAAAAAAAGCAAATGCTTCAAGGAAATGATCCAGGAGATTGAGGGCCTAGCTCAAGACCCACTGGGGACTGGAAGAAAACTGATGTCCCTGTTACATGGGTACCAAACACACTTTAGAGCCTGGGAGGTCTGGTCAATCACAATACGGAAGGGCCTGAAGAAAACATGAGAACATGAGGGAATTGGCCAAGGCTAGATGCTGGGGATGAGGGAGCCCATAGGAGCTGGTTCTATGTAAGGACCCTTGGAGGGCAGGTTCCAGTGTAGCCCGTAAGTGCTCTTACATCCTGAAACTCGCAAAAGCTAAGTGAGGGGTTCTGAGTTGGCCAATCACATGCACCCAACTAGGGAAGGCCAAAAGCCTGAGTGTTGGCTAGATGGTACGGCACTGAGCAGTGCAGCCCGCGTGGCCCATCCTGGTACCTTGCTCCGGGACAGCACCAGACTCTCCACCGGCTCCTGGTCAAACACCTGCAGCTCCTCTATCATGTGGACCCAGGGCCCCAGGCTCACAGCCTTCAGCAGCCAGCCGTCTCCTGCAGAGGTGATGGGGAGAGAGTGTAAATGAGGAAGCCCTCGGGCGTCCCCAGGAGTCTTGGGTACACCTGGAAAAGTGCCTACCTGTACCAATGAATAGCACTGTATAGGTGGCGCCATCCAATCCTGTGACCCTGTCGGCCACCATGTGTGTGAAGTTAGTGTTCTTCTTCACAAGCAGGGGGCGGCCCAACCGAGGCCGCACCTGCTCCTCCATCAGCGGGTGCTTCTTGATGAAGTTGAGGATGTTGTCAGGCAGCTCCAGAGAACTGGTGTAGCCATTGTGGCGGTGCCAATTGTTGATGCACTGTGCCAGGGGAGGGAGACGGGCAGGAGAGCCATCAGCTGGGTGAAGGAATGGGTCCTGGAGCTGATAGTGGGTGCACAGCCCCATGCCGAAGACTCACCGAGCCGGGCCGAGGGCTGGGTACTGGGTCAGTATAGCGGGCCCACTTCTGGGCCTGCTCGCTGTACTCTTTGTAGGGGCCCTCGAACACCTGTTGGATCTGTTCCAGCTGGTACTCACAGACTGCTGACAGGTCCATATCACCCCTGTTACAGCAAAGGAAGGACCTCAAAAGTCAGGCCTGGTACCGACTTGCCCACACCGTACCTGGCATCAGAGGAAGCACTATAAAGGCAGGGCTCAGTATAGAGTAGTCATGGCCATAAGGTGGCTCTGAGGTGTCACCTGAGGCAGTTTCTGCTTCCCGCACCCCCACAGAGCTTTCAAAAGAGCAGGCCAGAATGATCTTGGCTACCAGGCATTGACCTGCTGGACTTCCTCCAGAGGCCTGTGCAAGCCTCACACCCACATACCATCCCCAACCTGACGGCCACCTGCTTCTCCCTACCCCCAGCCACCCCAGAGCCACTTACCACCGTGCCTGAAACACCCCAAAGAAGGTGGTGTTGTGCCAAGAGGTCCCCAGCAGGGTGTGCACTGCCCGGAGCTGGTTGAAGTAGACCTTCCACTCTGGGGCCGAGCACACCAGCTGTGCTTTCAGGAATGTTGTCCACTTCTTCTGCAGGGTCCGCGCGCCCCCCATGTCGCCCTGGCAGGTGGCAAGGAGACAAGGCCAGTCAGCCCCTGCCCAGCCCAGCCCTCAGGGCTCCCGCCACCCACCGCTGCAGAACTCGGTACCTTACAGACACGAGCCACGCGAGCCACCACCTGCTCGGCGTAGCAATCGTACTCCACGGCCCGCTCGCTGAAGAAGAAGTAGACCTTGTCATCGTCCCCCGTGAAGCTCCCCACACTCTCAGGGACATAGGCAGAGCCTACGAAGTGGGGTTCTGGGGCAAAGCAAGGAGGGTCAGTGGCAGGGTGCCAGGGCCTTTCAAAGCCCTTCCACTCTCGGCTTCCCGGGTCCCACTCCATGACGCACCATTTAGCCAGAACGCCAGGTACTCGGTCTTGATAGAGTGGTGGGGCCCCATGTTCCGCAGGATAACAGGCTCGGTACCCAGGAAGTTGTTGAGCGTGGCAGAGAACAGTTCACCATCTATGGACAGGAGACAAATGGCGGGTCAACCAAGCTAGAAAAATAAGGTTCAGATGTACTCTGGAGACAAGCCTCCAGAATGTAACCGACCAAGTCCCCGAAGATTCACCCTGTCCGTACTGGAGGCAGCCACTCACCCACAAGGAGTCCAGTGTGGCCCTTAGCTGGGTCATAGGGACATTTCCCCTTCCCGTCCTCAAATTCTCCACGCTCCAGGGTGAAAGTGAGCATGTCCTAGGGGCAAGAAGATATGGAAGACAGGCATTAATACAGGGGCCTGCACGGCCTGAAAAATCATGACCTGAGAGTCCAAGGAAGGAAGTCACAGAAGTCAGGGACAGGTGGGTATGGAGCACACCCAAAGAGGGGGGTAATACTCACGATGTAGGTGCACTTGGGCTGGAAGGCATAGGTACCACAGACGTACAGGTGGGAGGCATTGTATGGCTGAAGAAAGCGGATGAAGTTGAAGCATTCGGTCTTCAGAGAGAAAGGTATACAAGTTAGTGAGAACAGAGAGGCAGGGATACAGGCTCACCAGGGCCCAGGATGGAGAGCATCCCAAAAAGGCCTGGCAGGGGCAGTGCCCTGAGCGCCCACCTGGTTGCTCTTCCCTTTCTGGGTACACTCAATCTTCTTCTCAGCCGGGGCCTCCCAGGAGATCTAAGGACCGGAAAGGACACATCAGCAATGTCATGGGAACACGTGAAGTGTGTGCTCCAAACACAGCTTGAGCTATGCCATGGGTGACACCTGGTCCCCATTCTGACACAAGCCCCAAACCTATCCCACCTGGAGGAACCCAGAAGGGGAGAGCAAGTGCTAATCCTGATACCAAGAGAGACCTCTGGGCTGTGAGACAGCCTGCCCAGGCCACACACCCCCAGTCCTGTGTGCCTCCCGCTGCCCCACCTCTCACCACGCCTTGCAGCTCCAGAGCCTCTACGCTGAAGGCAAACAGCGCCTCTCGAGCCCCCACATATAAAAGCCCAGAGTGCTCTCTCAGGGTCAAGGTCAGGAAGTCCTGGATGCCCGTCTGGGAGAACCGCCTCACTACTGTGGCCAACTCTGTAGAAACAGGGACAAGAACAAGGTTGGAATGAGCAAGGGGTGAGTGGTGCCTCCCCGGGGTTCCAGGAGTCCCCTACATCAATCTTCCTTTGTCCAAAGATCCCCTGGGCCTCATCATCACTGCTCTCCACAAAAGCTAGCACCACACACACAGACCACAGCCAAACCCCTACTGGCCATAAAGGACTTTTTCTGAATAGACTTTGACTCAATAGCTCCACCCTACCCAGGCTTCCGAAGCCCCTCTTCACAGTCTGGGAGGAGGCAATCTGGGCTGGTAAAGGGGAAGGAAGGATATCTCGGCCAAAGCTTCCGGCCAGAGGAAGCCATCTGACTGATGTGATGGCTCTCACTCAGGGTCAGCGGTACCTCAGGCACAGAGTCGGGCACTTCCCCCACCCTGGCCTCCTCAGTTGCCATTTCCTCCTTTGCTCTGCTACTTGCTGACCACATCAGGGTCCAGCAGACCCTGGCGGCAGAGCCAGGGGGACAGAAGGCACAGAACAGTTGTGAGCATTCCTTGTCTAAGAAGCCAGTTACGCCAGCAGGCGCCCGTCCAGGCTTCCAGAGATGCAAGCACAGATGGGTATGGGGCTGGCAAGGTGGCATGTGGGGAAGGGGGAAGAAGTTAGGATTGGGAGGGCAAGGGGCCCAGAGACTCAGAGACCAGAGTTGGCGTAGTAGCCTGAGAAGCTGAGCTGCCGTCCGGCACATGTAGCGCATGGTCGCACATCTAGTCATGGAAATCTGTCAGACGCCCACAGCTCTGCCCCCCTGCCCTCCTGCCCACAGGGTCCGCACTTAAGCCAGCCCCAGTCTTTGGAGGCAATGACCAGCCAGAGCTGGGTTGGCATGGGAGGGGCTTCATTAGCAGCTGAGTGCAGCCTGTGGGAGGTGAGCTCATCCCAGGTCCCAAGAGCCCATAGATGATACAAACACCTGACATCACCTCTCCATACAGGTGTGTGTGCAAAGGAGCGCTGTCTGCTAGGCTCTGCCTCCTCCCCCATCAAGCACAAGCACTTATATACACACACCCACCTAGAACCACCAGGCGGCTCCAGTGTTGGGGCCCCACAAGGGAGGACCATTAGATGAATTAAGGGGCTTCTGGGGACAGTCAGCTAGGAGGACTGGAGATGGGGTTAGGCTTACACTTGCCCTAGAACTTGGGGTTCAGGTTTCTCTCTCTCTAGGCTTCCAAGCAATAGTGACAATTCAAATGAGGGACAGGGAGGGTGACCCCGAAACTACCTCCCTTGCACACCTGGACGGCCAAGTCTAGGTTGAGGTTGGGGGTGGAGGTGGTGGTAAGAGATCCCAAAGAGTTATCCCAGCATCAGATGGGGGCAAATCCCAGGTTCTGACCTGCACTACCAGTTCTGGGTCCCTGGGGCCACTCGCATTTCTTAGAAAGCCACAATCACACTTATCAGTATAAAGTATGCATGCTTGGGGGGATAATTTTCTCAGCAGCTGCTCCTTCCTTCAAGCAAGCATCCCCTTCTTCCTCAGCAGTCCATTCCTGCCTCCCTCTGGCCCTGCCTCCCATGCTTCAAGCACTCACCCCCAGAAGATACTGTCTTCCGGGGCACAAGGTTCCACCACACCTCAGCCCCAATGCCCAGGCCCCACAGCCCTGCTGCCAGCAGCCAGACAGCCCAGTGCGGGGCCATGGCAAACACCCGGGCTCTAAACTTCAGTCCAGCAGCCCTGCTGAAGGAAAAGAAAGTGGTCAGCATCACAGACCGGAAGGGGGCCCGCACCAAGAGACAAGCAGTACGGGCGCACATTTGAACACAACTCCCCTGGAGCTCCTGGAGCTTCCCCTGCTCCCTTTTTTGGAACAGACCTAGTTTCTACAACTGGCCTCTGCCCCCAAGGGCCCTGGGGGTCTCTTCCAGAGGAGCAGGGAGGAGCTGAGTCAGCAAGCACTAGGCGTGGGCAGTCATCAAAAAGCCTTCTATGGCCTCCAGGCCATCCCTACTCCCTCAACAGGGAGTTGTGTAGAAAAAATAAAAAGGGGCTCCCCTCCTTTTCCTCCTTCAGGTCTAAAAGGTTTTGGAATAATCTTAAGAAAGAAGACCTGCTACCTGGACTCCGTCCAGGCCCAAGACCTAATTCGGGGACGTATACCCCTTATTCGGCTGAGGCAAGCAGGCGGTTGGGCAAAGACCCCCAGTGGGGGGGACTTGGTGCAGCCGGCTGCTTGCAGAGTTCCCGGCCCCAGCCTGTCCCCTCCCCCAGCGCAGACAATAGCCGGGCAGAGCCCAAACCCGGTTCCACATCAGCAGGGCTGGAGTAGGAGTGGGGCCGGGAACCAAAAGGGCCCAGCTTCCCGAGGCCCCTTTGTTGCCCAAGAGGGAGGCAGGAAGTGGGTGGGATGGGCGTGGAAATGACCAGGGCCAGTCCTGTTCTTCCAACAGCCTTCTACGAGACAGTGACCCTCCATCAGAGAGGCGGCGGGGCAACGAGGCAACGAGTCGGCTCAGGGCGTATGGGGAGCTCCTCACCGCGGCGGGATCGTGGAAGGAAGTGAAATGGGTTTGGGAGGCCAAAGGGGGTTTCTCCTGGAGCACTGGGGATGCCCACGAATGGCCCTCGAAGGCTATATGTCCCCCCCCCTCGCCACTCCCCGCCTCCCGGCTCTGACGAACGTTCTTAACTCGGGGATTGCACCCCGGGGACCCTGGCCTAGGCACTAGGCCAACGGGACTGATTTTCACTAATCCAGACGCTCGGGACCGGGAACAGAGATGCAAAATCTGGGAATTTCACCCCAAAACAAAGGTTTCAAGCCAAGACCCCGTCCAGGTCTCCCTACTGTGGGCTCTCCCATCCCCCAGCTCCGGGGATTTGAATGCAAACAAAGCAGTGGCGCTGGGAGCGTGGCAAAACCAGGCTTGAGGACGCCCCCTGTCGGCCCAGAACCCCTGCGCGGGAAGGCGGGGTGGGGGTGGGGGGCTGGGGCTGCTTGCCCACGGGCAGTCAGTCCCCCCTGACACACCCTCAGCTTCCCCTCTACCAATTACCCTACGCTGGGGTCAGAACCCGGTGGCGTGCTCCGAGAATCCGCCCGCGTACCATGACCCAACCCCCAGCTCTTTCCAAGGCAAGGAACGAGGACAGCCAGGGGGATGGAGGGGTGCAGAACCAGGATTTGCGCCACACTTGCACACCGGGAGCAGCAGATCGTGGATCGCTGCGCTCCAGCGCGGGACCGTGCGGCTAAGCTCGGATGAGGGGGCTGGTTCTCAATGCCAGCCCGCCTCCCTAGCAGAACGGGAGGGCGGGGGGGGGGGGGGGGCGCGCTAGGGAAATCCGATCCCACAACATCGGCCATGGTCCAAGCCCGCCCCAAACTTTCCGTCGAGGTGGGGGAACCGGAGCAGCTCGCGAATCTGGCAAAAATCCGGACCGCGCGCAGGACAGCCCGAGGGTCTCCCACTGCCCCTAGCTCCGCACCCTAAGGCGCCCGCCGATCTGGCCACTGGAGCTGCAGACACAGCTTGCCTTACTGCTGATCGTCCGCTGGGCAGCCCGCGGAGTACTCGGTAGGGACCCGGATCGGACAGCTGTCTGCGCTGCCGCCCCGCCCTGCACCCCCAGACGCTGTCCCCTTGCGTGCGCGCCGGTCCCTACCCGAGTCAAGGGGACAAAGCAGCAGCTCTGGGGCCCCAGAGCTCTGGCCTCACTCACCTCTTCCGTGCAGCACGAATCCCTGGGCGCCGCCCTCGCGTTCGGCTCCGGCCACGGTCCTCCCCTACCCCCGCGCCGTTCCAGCCCGCGTGCGCCCGCCAGCACGCTTAGGCTGTCCCGCGCCACCGCCCCTCGGTCCCAGCACCGCTCTTGGTGCCCCTGAGCTCGGGGTCCGTGCTCTACCGCGCCGGGCGCCGGTTCTTTCTCCGCTGCTGCCGCTGCTCTCCGCCCCCAACCCCCTGACGTCAGGCAAGGAGGGTGTCGAGTGGTGGCCGGGGGCGGGACGCGAAGGCCCGCCCAGGAGGGGGCTGCGACCCGCAGCCCTTGCTTGCCCAGCGCTGAGGCTTGGGGACCCTAGCGACTCTGGCCTCCCCGGAGTCAAGGTCTACGCCGTGGCGCCCGGAGGAAGGGGTGCGGGGAGGGACTCCAGACATTGCCACCGTGAACCACACTCACCTGGTCTTCCCGAAGTGTGCCTTCAAGCCTTGCGGCGGGCTGGGCTCAGGAAGGGCTGAGGGGTTCCCCCACGCTCCAGTTACAGGAACGAAAGCTGGCAAGCCATTTTGGGATGCGTATCCGAAAGGAGGGGAGCAACGGAAGAAACTGAAGGTTCTCCAAGGGGCTAACCACAGTGGTCAGTCCTTTGACTCCGAAATCGTCCTCCTTTCTGGTCTTAACCCTTGGGCTGGTGGGAGCGGCGGCTCACAGGCAGAGAAGACCCCCAAGTCTCCAGGCTGCTCCTTGTTTCCAGGCTCCAGCCGAGCCTACCACCAGGAAATGATCCCTGGTACCACTTGAAAGGTTGATTAACAAGTGGCATGAGCCCTTCAGTTCAGATGAAAGGGGCTGAAGGGGAGCCACGCTGGGAACCACTACCACCTTCAGAACTGCCAGCCTCCGCCCACAGCCGCTCCTAGATAACTTGTAGCTTTGGCCTCCTGGGCCCTGCTGGATGGGCAAGTCCTCTTTCCAGCCAGCTGGCCCTCACGCTAGGCAGCTGGACAAAAGAACCTTGGGGAAGCTGCTTCACCGGTACCTGGAGACCACCCCTAGCCAGAGTTAAAGGACAATCGGGAATGAAGGGAAGTCGAGGCCCTGAGACTTCGGTGGTAACTTTTAAGCCCCTGGGACAGTCCTAGAGAGAAGAAACATTTGAGACCCCATCAGCAGATCTGGAGTGTAAATCAGTCCGACAGCAGCCTTTACTCTGGGTTAAAACTTGGCATCTGAAAGTGGAGACCAGAAGGGAGTGAGGATAATGGAGAAAGGCAACCCAGTTTGGTTTCAGTAACAATTGAGTCTTTGCTAGGACACAGAACACGGCCCCTTCTCCCTCACTGGCCAGAGCCACATTTCCCAGCTTCTTTCCAGTGGGAAACAAAGCTGGGGCCTTGGAGATGCTGGAGATAGGAGGCAAGCCAGCTACTACCAGGGGTGGGCAGGGAATGTGCCCTGTTGGAGCTGGCCAGAGACAGAGCCATGCAGGACCCTCCTTTTGATCAGACTCAGTTTCCATCTAAATAAGGGTAAGCTGCTCACAGACTTCCAGGCTTTTGTGCTGTTGTTCTGTGCCCTTGGCTTTAGAACCTACTGTCAAATTTCCTCAGACCATGCTCAGGACGCTTTACAAGCTGGGTACCCTCGGCCCTGGGAGGCTGATGCAGGACTTCCAGGCCAGTGACTGTTTCTCTCATCTTATCAGAAAGATTAAGCAAGATCTAAAACTGACTCAAATTCACATAAACAGCAAGGTAAAAATTGTGAATGAGGCCTTGGAGTGATGGCGGGAGTCTGTGGTCCCAGCTGCTTGGGAAGGCGGAAATAGGAAAGTTGTGAGCCCTTGAGTTCACATCCATGTCCATCCTGGGCTCCCTAGTGAGACTGTCTCAAAAAAAAAAGGAAGTTGAGTTCCGTGATTCCCATTCCTCTTTCTAACAGTCACCTCGCACACGGCTAATGCTCCATTTCCTGTTGCTTTTCTCCCTCACCTCTAAGACTTGCCCACCAGGAATAAGCGCTGCTGGGCAGTGACCTGAGCTCCCTGGCTCTACCTCCAAGGTGGCCCCAGTGGAAAGTTTCAAAAGGTTTGGGTTTCACTGGCAGGGACAGTATTCTGCACCTTCATGGCAGGTGTCAGGGGCTTCTAAGCCAGGGATGGAGGTGGAAAGAAGACTGTTCCAGTAACAGTCAGTGAGCCCCTCCCTGCCAGGCTCCTCACCGGTACGGCTCCACCCCCCACCCCCCACCTCTGCACATTCCCTGCCAGGCTCTGTTTACCGCCATGGGTCTTCTCCACAGGTGGGTGGGCAGAAGATGAAGTTTCCTTGCATGAGTCCTTGCTTGTGATTCATGCTTTTTAATAAAAGGACAGCTGGCAGAAAAATAAGGATTCTGGATCTCACATCAAGAAAGAAAAATAGTAACACTAAAAAAATAAAAGAAGAAGAAGAAGAAAGAAAAAGAAAGAAAAGATAAGGCTACATAGCTGTGTAATCTCCTTAGGCCTACCTAGCATAGCCTATGGAAGGCATCACACTCTGATCCTTATTCTAGCCTGACAGAGTAGACCCTGCTCTGTGCCTCATGCCCCCTTTGCTATAGCTTAACTGCTTGTGGTCAACTAAAGAAAACATGAGAAGACAAGTTAAATGGCCACCCTCCAGGATCCACTGAGTTCAAGCTGACCCTTGTAGAGCCCAATATTGGTCATGAACCACAGCACTCTGCTTCTTACCAACTACCCTTCCCAAGCTAAGTGGCTAGAGGAAGGCCCAGAGTGTATGCTGGGGTCTCTAGTCAAGGCCTCCTTGAACCTGGACCGTTTCCAACATAGCCGGAAGTCTCCCCACAGGTGGGAGAATGACAAGATTAGGGTGGGCCATCTTTCAAGGAGCTCTCTGACTGTGACCCAGGGAACTGGGACATAGGAAAAGGACTTCCTTGGTCTACTTCCTCCAAATGGAGAGTTATCAAAGCTGTCCACCTGGGGAGCCTTTCCCTTCCCAGCCCCTCCCTTCCAGCATCACCAAAAGGAAACAGGAAAACATCCGTCATCACAGCCCAGGATACTGCTTTTCCAGCGGCTTCTATCAGGATATCCCCTGCCTTTTCCCAGGGGCTTAGGGTCAAAAACCTGGAGGGCAAATGGTGAAACAGCCAGCTTCATTCCAGAATTCTTGGCCTGGAAGAGGCTCCGCTTCTAATTGATCCCAACCCAGGGTTGGTCAGCGCCCAGTCAGTCCCAGAGCAGGACAATTACATGACCCAGGGGATCGTGTCCACCCTTGAGTGACCTTACATCACATACCTCTGCTCAGGTTACAGCAGCCTTCTGGAAGGGACGCCTCTTCCTCCTCTCTGCTGTTTCTATTTCTCTCTCAGGGATGGGTATGTTTGTGGAGTAAGGAGCCAGGGAGGACTCCAGATGTCTACATTGACGGACACTTTGATCCCTTTTCTTAAAGCCAGGTAAGGCAGCTTCAAGAACTGGAAACTCCCCAGTTCAGCCTCTCAGGCCTTCCTACCCCCTCTCTGCCCTTGGCAATGAGAACAAAAGAGGGAGATTTCAAGGTGATTTCCAGGTTTCCAGAGCAAACCCAGTTACTGAGGATTAACTGCCAGGATGCAGTGTCAAGCAGGGGCGCCCAGAGGCAGGGTGAACCGGGCTAGCTCCCCAAAGTCCCTGCCTGCCTGTCAGAGAGCTGAGGATGACCTGCTTACTGCTGCTGGGGCGTGAACTATCAGTCAAATCACTGGGCATCCAAGTCACCTGGCTCTGAAAGGGCTTCTTCCACTTCTCATTTGGCAAAAGCTTTGAGACAGAAAAGATGTCCTTGTGGTACCCAGTACTGTGTCTCTAAATAATAGATGTCTCTAGCTCCTGGCCTTCAGGGGACCCAGAGAGGGAGGTACCTGTGTCTGAAACAGGCCTAGGAAGGTATGTGCCTGACTTTAGCTATGTTCTCTGTGTGTGTGTATGTGTCTGTCTATCGCCTGGTCAGCCCCTAATCTTGGAACATATAAACAGGGAAAATTGTACGCAACAGCCATGGGGAAGCTCCAAGGGCTTCACCAACTGAGATATGAACACAAGTCAGATTGGTGAGAGTCATCCTCTGCTGCCTCCTGGCCCCCTCTTCTACCTGTTGCAAAGCTCACTCCAAACATGAAAGTGTCGGAAGGGGCCAAAGATGAGCATGGATTTTGTCAGAGGAGTGGCCAGATAAGAAAGTAAATAGGGGCTAGCTAGGGGGCTACTCCTGGAGATACAAACGGGCCCACTCACTTCTCCAGGGGTCCAAGTCAAAGACATCCAGTTATACAGTTAGAGGTTAGGACACAATGAAACTGACCTGGAGGCAAGGCCATGGAAAGCAAAAGAAGGATCCAGAAGTGTCTTTGGGACCCACCCCCACTTCTAAGTCTAAAGAGTTGATTTCACAGCTCAACAATAAATTGAATTAAGCATAATTACAGCCCTGATCCACCATACTGTCTGTATAGCGTCCCCAGCAGGGGCGGGGTAGTCCCAGACAGGATCCAGACAAATGTTCTTCATCCAAAAGTGCCCAGGCTCCAGCAACCCTGGTCACAGCGTGACGGCTCCGAGATATAGAGTCAAGTGGCTGAGGTGGTTCCTAGGCCCCAGTCACATGGCTGCCAGAGGTGAGAGCAGCACCAGCTGGCTCAGGCAGAGGCTAGGCATCAGGTTAGATGCTGGGCATGAGCCCTCGGGACAGGGATTTAAGGAAGGAAAACCACTGGTGCTGAAAGTAAGACTTTAATGTGCACAAAGGAACCCCATATTAAGGATGGACAGAGAAAACAAGATACAGTGTGTGTATGTGTGGGAAGAGTGGCTAACAAAGAGAGACCAGGAGGCCCAGGAAGTCAGCGCTATAGAGACAAGACCTAAGCTAGAAGAGATAGCTGAACAAGCAAACGTGTTTAAGGGTGGGGATGGTCAGGGAGACAAGGCCTCCAGTGGCAGTAGGCTGGCTTCACCAGGCTGGGTCTTCCCCAGCCTCTGTTCTTTACCTCCGACAGTTCTCTTCCTGCTGGAGTCCGGAGCCATTATCCCTTTAAATATCTTTCCAAGGGTTGAAGTACTGGCCCTGTGAAGAAGATAGAAGTAGCTTGTAATGGCCTGGCCCCAGTACTGTCCTCTATCCAAAGGCCCCTGCATTGGTGGTGCCCATTCAGCATCCACCAGAGAGGACTCCATGTCAGGTGTCTTAGGGTTCCAAGACCAGATACAGTGGGTCAGCAGGCCATTTGACCACAGCGCCTAGGAGGCTCAGCCAAGGTCCCATCTCCCACTACTATGGACCCAAGGAATAAGGGAGGAAGATGTTATCTGTGCACACTCAGCCAGGCTCCAATCACTCTGCTTCCTCTTTATGACAAACGAAGCTTCCCACCAGGAGCCAGTGGATCAGGAGAAGGGCTTTCTTTTTCTCAGGGACTTGCGAAATTTGAGCACAAAGCCACAGCCTGTGGCCAGTGTGTCAGCCTCAAGTCAGGGGTGAGAGGGAATTGTAAGGGAGGGGTCAAGGAGAGGCAAGCTGGGAACAGGGCGTTCAGCTGTCTCCATTAAGGGCTTGGGGGCTCAGGGCCAGCCCAGCAGGGCATGCTTAGTGGAGAAATGGGGGGGTGCCTAAGGGTGGAAGGGAGTATGCCGATGGGGACTGCTCTGTGCCAAGGAGTGATACTGGCCGTGAGCCCTGATTTTCACATTCACTCAAGCTGCCTGCATTGGGTGGGTGGGGCAAACTATTGACCCTCTGGAGTCTCTAGATATAGCTCATCTGTAAAACCTGTGTCTAACAATCCCTGCTTCCTGAGGTCTTCAGGTTCTGGTAGAAAAGATCTTCACTCAGTAAACTTTAGCTAAAATGTTACTACCTGGAGGAGTTGAGACAATTCCAACAACAAGAGTGGGCGCTGCCCCGCGGACGTGAGGGGTAATAGGGCACTCACTTAGCATGCATGAGGCCCTGGGTTCAAGTACTAATCACTCTCGGGGGGGGGGCGGGAGACAAAACGAAACAGAGCAGCCTGGGAAATGTTCTTAACAAAGCAAGAAGCCAGCTGAGGTCCACAGGACAAGTGGACAGGAGGTGGACAGCTGTTGCCTGCGGTGTCCCTTCCTGGCTGGTCATATCAAACTGGTATTGCTCAGCTCTCCAGGGCTGAGCTTCTCTTGGCATTTGCTCACAAACAGGCTTCCCTGTGTTCCCTTCTGCATCCCCTCCCTGGGCCCTGGATTAAGAATGAAGGTCCCCTGAGACATCCCCACCCTCACCACACTGCCCACTCCACCCTCTCCCTTTGGAGTCCAGCAGCTGCAGCGGGGGTGGATGGCCTGCTGGATCTGCCAAGCCCCACCGACTGACCACTTCCCTTCCCTCCCAGGTCCAGGGGATTATGGGACACCACCTGGGGCTGACAGTGAGCCAGCAGGTCCTGCCAGCGGATGTAGGTCTGGGTGGCAAGGTCCTTGAGTTTGGTCCGGTGCATGGCCTGGGGGCTCTCCCGGATATGGGTGCTGATGTGGCGGTCCAACTGCATGCACAGCAGCTGCAGCTCACCCTGAAGAGGAGGAGGCGGCAGGACATGAGCCAGGCATATTCTGGAGGCCGGGGCAAGAAGGAGAACTAAGTCAGAAAGGGAGTGATTTTCTGAGTGACTGCTGCCAAGCTGGGTAGGAAAGGGAGGAGAGGGGAAGGGCGGCTTCTAGGGGACAGGTCAGCATCCCTTGGGAAAGGCTTTTGGGACATGGTGGGAGAAAGAGGCCCTGGCAGCCCCTTGCCACTTTCTTCTTGGCCTCTCATTCTGTAGTTCCTGAAAGAAGACTGGTTCCATGCTGGTCACTGTGGTCCCACAGTGCTTGATACAGTAGATACTACTGGGCACCCAACCCTTCCTTGCTCCAGCTTCTTGGGAGACTCACCCATTGATCTGGAGTGATGTCCTGGCTACTGACCACCACCCCAGCCAGTGTCAGGAGGCTGTGGCACAGATAGCAGACCTAGAGAGAGAGCACAAGGATGCTTCCTTAACTCATCTGAGCCTGTGAAGGTTCCTTGCTCTCAGCACACAGCAGCAGCTTCCAGGAAAGCATCTTCAAGGAAGGCCTGCATGAACGGAACCTGGCCTCGTTATCTCAGTGCTCTAACTAGCCCAGTAGGCTGGACCAACATTCCTCTAACATACCTGCCACCCAGAAAACCAGCCGTACCACCCCAGTCTCATCCTGGGAGTCGAGAAATGAAAAGCCCCCAGGGTCTGTGTCCTCAGACCTCTGCACAGCCTGCTTGTTGAGCCACCTACACCTGTGCTCAGTACCGGCTGTACAACCTCTGAGCTCCCACCTTGGACACGTGCCCCACAAAGGAGCAGCACCTGCACAAACCCAGGCACAGCGCTGTTTGACTCTCAGTCCTGATGTCAGACAGAAAGCTGGCAAGGGAAGGGAAAGTCAAAGAAAAAGCCAGGGGTGAGTATCTGCATACTGTCTCCCCAAGTCCACCCTCACTCTTGCCACTGGATACGCAAAAAAAAAAAAAGAAAAGAACAAAGGCCAGGTATGATGGAGCATACCTGTAATCCCCGACTTGGAAGCTAAGCAAGACAAGTTCAAGGCCAGCCAAGGCTACATAGGAAGACCCGGTCTCAAAAGCAAGCAAAAATGTACAACAACAATGAACGCAAAAAAGAGACAAAAAGAAAATTAGGAGGAGGGCTGGAGAGGTGGCTCAGTGGTTAAGAGCATTGCCTGCTCTTCCAAAGGTCCTGAGTTCAATTCCCGGCAACCACATGGTGGCTCACAACCATCTGTAATGAGGTCTGGCCTGCAGACATACACACAGACAGAATATTGTATACATAATAAATAAATAAATATTAAAAAAAAAGAAAAGAAAATTAGGAGGAAGGAAAAAATGGCCCTATGGGGGCAGAGACAGTAGATTATAACACCAGACAGATCCTGTGTCTTACATCAGCCCTAGGTGGGGCATAGGGTGGAGGCAGGGTTGGTCAGCCAGGTAACTAGCTGGGCTTGAATAGGGTAAGGGAGGGCATGGCTTGGGGACAGGGCTGGCTGCAAAGACAGTGAGGCGCATTGGGCTGTTGTTGACCGGGATGATTAGAGCTTCCTGAGGGACGCTAGTGAGAGGAGGTAGCAGTATCTGGTGTGGGTTGAACACACCAGTGTGCACGGTCTTTCTGGGACAAAAGATTGCAAGATGTGTCTTTCATATTCTTTTTGCTGTCCTCCATACCATGTGGTTGGTATGTGTGTGCGTGTGCGTGCGAGCGAGTCTCTGTGCTAGAGACCAAACTCAGGAATAAGCGAAGCACACACTCTTCCCCTGAGCTGCATCCTCAGCCCACATCCTCTTTTCTTCCCCTACTTATTAATATGGGGGGGGGGGGGAATGGCGCTGGAGAGATGGCAGCTGCCAATACCGCAGTTGGAAGGCTCACAACCACCTGCAATGCCAGCTCCTGGGGATTCCAATGCCTCTGGCCTTCTTGAGTAAACATACTGTATGCATGTGTACCTATCCCCCAACACACATACACATGCAATAAAGAATAATATAAATCTAAGGATGTGGTGGGATATGCATTTAATAACAGCATTCATGAAGGCAGAGGCAGGTGGATTTCGGTGAGTTTGAGGCCAGCCTGGCCTAGATAGTGAGTTTTAGGCTATTCAGGGCTACACGATGTGACCCTATCTCAATAAATAAATAGATACATATGTATAAAAACAAAGAAAAAGAGACCACAAGGTTGAGAGGAAGCAAGGTGGTGGATAATAAAGGGAAGGAAGGGGTGAGGGAAAGAAAAGGGAAAGGAAGAAAGTGACGTCACTATAGTTTACTTAGGAAATAAACGCTATTTTAAATAAGTAAGAATCTCTTTTGAAAAAGAAAAGGACTATTTCTGGGGACTGGGGATGTAGTTCATTGAACACAGTGCTTGCCTAGCATATAGTAGGCCTCGGGTTCAATTCCTAGTACCATAAAACCGGGCCTGGTGTCACATGCCTGTAATTCCAGCATTCCTTAGAGGCAGCAGGATTAGAAGTTCAAAGTCATCCTTAGCTACACAGTAAGTTCAAGGATAGCCTGTACAAAACAAACAAACAAACAAATAAACCTGTCTAATATGTATTATTGACAGAGTCAGAATATACCTAAATTTGTTGAAGATTTTTTAAACAGGACCCTGCCCTACTTTAATTGAGTCTAATTGGGTTTGGAGCAAGAGAGGAACATGACCTTGGAAAAAGGCTGAGGCCCCTTTCAGACAGGGCAAAGCTCTTGGCATGGAGCAAACCGATAGTGAGAGGTGGCAGAGGATGCCAAAGAAAACATCAAGAGTAGTGGAGCGGGGGAGGGGCGCTGCCTGGGGAAGCCTGGGGACTACCCGAGGTGTAAAGGGACGGCGAGCGGGAGCAGAGGGCTAAGGGACCTCGGGACTCCTCACCCCTAAGCCTTTTCTCTTGCAAATGCCTTTCTCTAGTACACCCCACCCCCTCCTGAAGATCAGCCTGCCTCAAACTCAATTGTGGAGGTCTTTGCTTCATCTGGACCCCGGGATTTACCATCCTATAGGGCAGCTTGGGGCAGCCTTAGGCTCCCAGGATCGCCCTGGGGGAAGACTGCAGGACAGGCATTTACCTTGATCACTAAGGAGGAAAATGCAGCAGTGCACAGCCCCAGTTTCACGACACAGCTCTCACTGATTCCCATAACTCAATCTTCAAGGAAAACCCCAGATAAATATTCTGAGCTTCTTTTTTTGGTCTGGGTGCAGGGAGGAGGGATAGGGTGTTCACCACATTTTCCAACCATTTCTCCAAAGAACAAATCCAAATGCACACGGTTTGGAGGTTGGTGTGTTCCCCCATTGCTAGAGAGGGCCCTTTAAGTTAGACTCTGACTCAACTTGAGGTCGTAGGGCTGTACCCTACTCAGGGCAGGCAGTGTTGAGTCCCTGCCACTGTTTTTTGTGGGGAAAAAAAGGGTTTTGGCTTAGGATGCTTCTCAGCTGTAGAATCCTGGTCTAGCAAAGGTAAGGTTTTAAGTTTGATCCTTAGTACCTCAAAACAAACAAACAAACAAACAAACAAACAAACAAACAAGGGCTCGGTGGTGCATGCCTTTAGTCCCAGCACAAAATCAAACTGAAACAAAAAGTCTCAAAAAACCAACCCAAAACAACATTAAGTTTCAATGAGGACATCAGTCATGCAGGTAAGAGTCTCCTTAGTGGAGGCAAAGAGCGGCTGTTGGTTTCTCTGTGTCAGGGAACCAGGGGTTCTGGGCCTGGAGAAGGCAGAACCTGAGACCCTTCCTCCACAATTCCACTGCTTGGGGGACCCGAGGTGGGCTAGGGGTGCAGAGCAGAGGTGCTGCGCGGGCAAGGAGTCATCTTGGTAGGAGCAGGATGCATGGAAAGTGAAGAACCACATTTCCCTCTCTGTGACAGTGACCACTTTCTGAATTTAGCAAGCCTGCTCCTGTCTTGGCTGGCACCACAGAGATTAAGCAGGAAGTGGTGGCCAGAGGACAGGACGTGGGCTATGCAGCCCCTCCCCCCGCCCACCGACCAGATTACCCCCCTGCCCTTTTCCTCTACCTTTGGGACCACAAGGTGGCCTTTCCCCCAGTCCAAAGGAGGCCCCTTCCAGGACTCGGCTTGTGTGTGTGTATGTGGTATTTGTTTGTGTGGTATGTGTGTGTGTGTGGTACGTGTGTGCATGTGGTATTTGTGTGTGTGTGTGTCCATGCATGTGTGTGTGTAGCTGCAGTTGGGGTCAGTATGGCTTTGGAGTCAGTCTTCCATGGTGGTGGGCTGCAGTGTCCAGGCCTCATACCTTGTTTAGAGCAGCAGGACCCCAGCCAGTTGAGGAGCCCAGCCCCTCATGCACAAACATGAATCCAGGCTGGGAAACCACAGTGGGAAAGAGATCCAGGAAACCTCAGACAAGGACTCAGAAGAGAGAGGCAGAGGGTGAAGAACAGGACGTGCCTGAACCCAATGCTGACAAGCCAAGGCGGTACTGTCCCTGGGTCCCATTGCCAGCAAGGCCTTTGCTTCCACTTCCTGGGTCTCTCCCCAGGGTCTGGTGACGGTGGCGGGCCTCTTCCCAGAAATTCATTGTGGCATATCTCATTCCTGCCCTCCCCCAAACCAGGACCCAGGGATGAGGCTCGTCACCCAGCAGACAACAGGCAGGTGGCACCTCTGGCTCTGTTCCAGTTAGTTCTGATCTTAGGTCTCCTGGGTCAAGTGGAACTCATTTGCAAGTTTTTGTCAGAGGAGTCAAAAGGGAACATGGGTGGACATTTCCCGGGAACTTCATCCTTCAGGAAATCCCCTGCTAGTTAATGCCAAGGGGGTAAGCTGGGTTACTTACGCCGAAGGGTGGAAGAGAGGAGGGAGTTCCCAGGAAGCCGCTTTCTCTAACCCAGCAGCAGTTTCTCCCTACCTCGGGTCATGACCAAGGATGTAGTCTTACCCTGGAGTTTTTAGATAGAACCCTTTCCTCAGAGCCTGCCAGGCAAAAGGGGACAGTAGACTTTCCATGGGTAGGAGGACTCTGTGGAAGCAGGTCCAGCCAGGCTCTGGGCAGCTGCTAGGGACTGGGGAGAACGGAGGGCTGGCCCAGGGACACGGAGGAAGGAGGATGACAAGGATGCAGGGGCAGTGGCTCTCTAAGTCACATTGCCGAGGCCCAGGGCGCATCCTGCAGTGTCTGTATACCTGCTCAGCTGCACCAGGATGCCAGGACTACCTCCTCTGTTTCTGCCTTTGACATCACAGGCCCTGGCTGGTGGCTACCCTGGGGACCCTGCATTCAGCTCAGTCTCTAAGGTCTGGAGGCCCAGCTTAGCTTGACAACTGACCCCAGGAGACTCCATCGCTATGTGCCGCGCCTGTCACACGTGGAGCACACGTGCTGACGACGAGCCATAGAACCAATTTAGTTACAGACCGAGGCTGCACGGA